TGTGTGGGTATCTCTCATGTTATTTGCAGCCTGAGCTTCGATAAAAAGCCTTCATAAGCAATGAAGTGCTCAAAAACTTAAAAAGATCTTTGAAGATAGATTTCATTCCCCCAAACATCTTCTAAATTGAATTGGGAACACAGATTAAACCACCAGTTTTTGCCCTTAGTGCTAATCTGTTGCAATTATTGCTTTTCCTGTGCATTAAATGAGTTGGGGTTACACATTAGCACACACGGCATCACTCATTTGAAGTTGAGAAGGTATAACATTACCTTATGACATTAACTTTACTAAAGAGTCCTTGTGAAATTAGCAGAACTGGGTGGAAATCTACCTAGGTAACTGCATTGTTTCTGTGCATCAATTGTTTTTATTGCTTTAAACTGTGTTCAGTATCTTGACTGTAATATATATTTGTGAATTATAAGCTGCCAATTGTAAGCTGACTGAGATAGGCAGCTATACAAATTGAATGAATAAATAAATAGTATGTCTTTTTGTGTTTAAATCATTCTATTTATAAACAGCTCTAGCTCTATTATTATTAAAATATTCATTTTATTTATTCATATTCTTAATAGTTGCAATAAGCCCCTCCTCTAAATACCTTCCTCAGCAAATTCTTTTTGGCTATCTTTGTGTAACATAGAATTTAAAACACTTCGGGTCCTAATAGAAATGTACCTATTTTCTATTTCTCTTTTTTCTTTTCAACGAGTCTCATGGCTTCAAAACCCAAATGTTGTTGTCCTGAGCAATGTATCTGCAAGGACTGCCAACAATGTGAAAGGGCCCTCCCTTTTTTTAGGTGTGTGCAATGCAAGTGACACATAATAAAAAGGGGAAAATACTATGATCGTGTCTACCGTTTGATATTGTTGACAACCGTGTATCTAAGCCTCTTTGTTTTCTGGATGAAGAGGGTAAGTATCATTCACTGTTTCACTAAAATACTACCACTTTCCATTGTGCTCAGGTAGAATGAGCAAATCGTGTTGGTTTGTTCCTGGGGTCCTATTTTTTCTTTTGACTCATGAATCAGAGGTTTGGGGATGCACTGGGTAACAATAAAATCATTTAAATTACTTTGGAACAATTCCTTATATTGAGGGAAATATAAGCCTTAAAAGAGCCAGTTGAAACCCTTAATACAGCCCATAAGGAGCTGCCACAGAACTTGAAATGGGGATTTTCTGCAGCCCAGTACTGAATTTGCAATTCATCCATCTCTAAATATCAATACCTTGCAAAAGGAAGAGAGCGAGAGAGAGAAAATGTTTCACAGAATTTCTGCATTCCCATGGCTAGAAAGGCCTTCACAAGCTAAGACGTATGATGAATAATTTTAAACTATATTATATGGTTGATATAAGCAGTCTAGAATTCCCACAGTGCCTTATCTTCTACTTCAAAATCTTGGGAGACAGGAGTGCTAACGTCTAAACCATGTGCCCGTTCTTTTCTGATTCAAAATGTTCTATCATCCTGTTTCATTTTCTGTTAAAAAAAAAAAAAGATATCTATTCAGCTTATTTGTTGAATAAGGCCTAGTTGATGATGTTTAAGTTTCCAATCTGCTTTACTAAAGCGATTTGACCTTTATCAGAAACAAATGTAAAATGAGAATGCAGATCAGTGATTTATTCGGGAAAGAATTATTTATATAACTCAAGCATGTTTTTCATTAAAAATGATATTTATTTATACCATACATACTTCAAAAACAGTGTTTTTATTCTTTTTGTTCCTTAGATATCATTTAGCCATTTGTTTAGGTCTGTTTTGCCTTGTCAATATTTCTTCTTGCTTTGTTCTTACTATCTTGGTAAGTGTTTGAAAACACAGCGCAGGACATGTAGCACTGCTGAATGTCATTAGGTTTGAGAAGAATTACACCTTTGCTTTCTCTATTCCCTTTCACAAGTGCATGACACATTATGCAGCATAAAACAAAACAAACCTCTCTCCGTTCAATTTTATTTTTTAAAAAAGTAAGACTTTGAGGGGGGAAAAGACAAAGCACAAATGAAAAAAAAAAAATCAAGTCAGCAAAAATTGTGGCGGTTTTGATGTAAACATATTTTTGACATAAACATACTTTGACAAACTGGTCAGTATTTTTTAAGAGTCTCTATGAATTCTGGAGATCATGTCAAGACTTATGCTCACTAACTGAAGTCAGAGAAATGTGATTTGAAATAAGGCATTTTAATTAAGGAAGCTTTCATTCCCCATTTTCTTTTCTTTTCTTTTCTTTTTTTAAAACAAGCATGGAAAATACTGTAACTATTGTCTTTGCTTTGTTGTTAGGGGAAAAATACTTAGTATACAAAGGCACCAAGCTACTTATGATCAAGTTAGGATTTACATTAGCTGTGACTAATTTCTTCCCATGGCTTTAATGGGGTTTGGACACCACAAACTACTATAGAGTTGGATTGGGGCCAATGAAGAGGAGGAATTGTTTCCTCTAATAAAATTAACAGACTGAGTTATTATACAATGAACAGTGGTTGGAAAGTACATAACTGGTTCAACTCGAAGGCTGAAAACAAATAACCATTTCTGGTTTTGCAGTCACGGGAGAAACTTCTAAGAAAGAAAAACATTTTCTGTGCATTAGTAATATACTGCATGGGGGAAATACTCCTTAGGTATCCTTCCAAGAAAGGATTTGTTATATGACACATACCATCATGAGCTTTGCTGCCGAGCTTGAACAAATATCATTCCCTCAGTAGGTCGGGGTTAGAGAGGCTGCTAGTGTGGCTTTGCCACGCTCAGGCAACATGTGTAAACACCAGAAACGGGAACAACCAAAATGGGTCCGTGTGCAGATTCCTCCCTGGTTTCTTCTTGGATGCTCATTCCTAACTCCACTGTGATTCTCTCTTGACAAATCGCTTTTGGAAAGTACAAACAACCAAAACATTGAAATTTGCTCTGGATTCTCCCTCCCCTCCCCCCCCACAGCTGTCAGCTTCTCTCTGCCGAAGGGTGGTCACCCAACCAAAATGAACAGCGCATATCTCTCAAGCTTTAAGTGCTTGTGCTGTTAATGGCTTTTGATTGCTTCTATAAAACATGCCTTAATCAGTCTATTGCACCTTCCAGTGCGGACAAGTCAACTCTGCAGAGGCCGGTGGTTCTCTTTGGAAGACAACCACGGCCCAAGTCTTCAGTCTTCAGGAACATAGGAACGTCTTCACTTCAGGAATTTTGAAGCCTTCTCTTAAGTCAAGGGAATGCGACAGAGATGTATGCCTTCAAAAAGCTCACCTACCCCTCCCAAGCCTTTTTCTATTGATCTCTTCAGGGGATAGAAAGGGTGGGGGGGGAGAAGAAGATTTATAACGCCATTGTCTTCAGAGCTTCAACACACCCTGAAAGTGTGCCTGACTGGTGTGGGTAAACACTCAGTAGCATTACATCACACAACTGCATTTCCTGAATGTTGGCAGGGCAATTAGTTTTGGGTGGGGGAGAGATCAAGAGTGGCTTTGTGATAACCACAATGCAACCTTTTGCAAAGGCCTCCAAGAGAGAAAGTTCCCACCCCACCCCAGTGTAATGAGGATTACTTCCAGGTAAACAGATGCTGGCTTGCACCATTTTCCTAAAAGCTCAAGTTGAAGAAATGCCTCCGTTGTCTCTTAGTAAGTAATTTCTGCCTTCTTTTTTTTTTTTCCTTCCTCTTTTTCCTTTTTTTTTTTTAAACACAGAACTGCGGCCTTGCTTTGCAAATGTGCATCATTTTTAGGACCTGAGAAATATATTTGGGTATGATATTCCGTTGCTCCCCAGTTCCTAGGATTGTTTTTTTTTTTTCCTTTCCTCACTGCCACAACCTTAGCCTGTGGTTAATACCAGCCGATTAATATATTTTGGTTACTGAAAACGTGTGCAAAGTTGGCAGTTTCATGTTAACGCGTAACACGATTTTTGTTCATCATTTGCCTGCCATACTGACCAGACATCACATGGAACAAAGGGTAGGGTTTTTTTTTTTTCCTTAATAAGACACTGATAGTATGGCAATACTTTTAAGGGAAAAAAGGGTATGGATATTATTACACATCCCCACATCGTGTAAGAAAAAAGTGCATGACTGGATTTATGTAATCGTAACAAGACCAAAATAAAAACAAAACAAGGAAAACCTGTATCCAATCAGGTGCTCTAAAGCATGCCAGCACCTCCCCTTATGCGTTTCTAGCAGGTAGTTAAAAATGGAACTTGTGTTTTCTTTTCTTTAAAAAAAAATGTGCACTGAAGCTAATATAAATGAATTGAGCTAGCCAGCAAACTATTCCCACCTAACCCCCAACCCCCACATATCTCACAGCTGGATGTAAATGTAAATGTAAAACAAAAAAACAAAAAAACAAAACCCAAACAAACAAACAAAGAAAAGGTTAAACCACCATCAATACAATTGTTTTACATCATGGGCCTTTCAAGGCTCAATATATACAAGTGTTAACAGCCATGCGTAGTTGCCGGACCTCTCAAAGGTTTAAAATACACAAAAACAATAGAAGTTGTCCTTTTCCTCTCTCGTTTTAATATCTTTGCAGTGCTTTGTTGTTAGGGGTTTTTCTTTTCTTTTCTTTTTTTTCCTTTCCTCTTCTAAGATTGCAGGCAACAGTCACTGATGAAAGAAACAGTCTTTTTGGAGATGACCACACATTTTATAACAAAAGCGAGTTTGAAAAGGTAAGTTCGTTTGTTAATTTTTTAGTTTTTGTTTTAAGCAGTGGAAATGTTATCCCAGGTTAAAGATATTATCCCAACCCACATAATTTTTTTTCTTGTTTTTTTTTAAAAAAACATAACAAAATAAAGGAACAAAAATGAGGGGGGTAGGGAATGAGGGGGCATGGGGGAAGGAAAGCACCCGGTCTTTTTCTGTTTTGTTTTTAAAAAAGGAAAAAAAAGATATATATTTATATATTTATATTTATATATATTTATAGAAGAGTCTGTAAATGGCAATTTGAAGAAGTATAAGGTCTTAATTTTTGAGCTGGCACTGACCGTGTCCATCTTGGGATTAATCTAGTGAGCTGAAGGGAATGTTTTTATGCAGATTCGGGTTCTGGCTGTGCCGATTTCGGCTGCGGACCGAGGAGAACATCATGTTGCAACCAGGGATTTTACATCTGTGCATTTCCCGCAAGTGTACCGTTTTGTAATGCACCCTGAGAGTCCCCTTGTTGCTGTACATTTTGTGACAGATGTTGCACATGATCCCCCCATTGTTCATGGAAACACTGTTAAACATGAGCGACCCAGGGACTTCAGCACTCAAGCTGACCCCTAAGGCTGCAGCCTCAGTTTTGTGTGATGATTCCTCGCTGTCGCTGACCCCATCCATGTCGTCCAAAAGGATGCCCTCGTCGCTTCCTGCATCCGATTCTCTGGAAGAATGGATGCTACTGCTGGACTGGATGCTGGAGGTGGTGCTCAGATCTAATACCATGTATTCTTCCGACATACCCCGTCCGTATCCATTCAAGTGGGAGTCCTCGGTTCCTGCTGGGGAGGAGGTGTCTTCCCGTAGATCAAAACCCAAGTGGGGTGGAGCACCATAGATCTTCATCAAGAATTCATCACGGAGGTCCTTGCTAAGGGAAGGCTGAGAGGAATCCAGTCCCATGTCATCCAGTTCTTTGGTCAATAGTTTACGGTGCAGATTTATATTAGCACTGTGTCTGGGAAAGAGAGAGGAAAGAGACAGGGAGGGAAAAGAAATATGCGATATGGATTATAGTGCAAATATTAGTAAAGGGATAAAAACCATAACAAGCAATGTTCATGCAGTAGCACAACTGTTGCTCTTTGTTTTTTTAGAAACGCAAGCATGACGGTTTGGACACCATTCCTATAAACACAAGGCAAGATGCTGCAAATCCACATGAACTCAATTTCTTTTCTTTTCTTTTTTTGGTATGGTTATCGTACTCTGTATCAGGCTAATTGGCGGTGTGATTGATTACCACTTTTCTTTTCAAAAACATGGTGTCATATGAACGAATGGGGAGGGTATTCGATGGAATTTCTTTACCAAATCACAGCGTTGGTTCCTATTGATACATGTAACCATAGGAGCCAACTGGGAACAAAGGCTAATTAGAAAAGTATCTTAAACTGATTTATCCTCTTACCAAGAAGAGGGGTGGGGTAACCTCTAGTATTTATGAACAGGATTCGTTAAAACTGAATGAAACAATTTAAAAAATTGGTAGGGAAAGAAAAGAGGCCATTTTACAAGATAGCAATCCATGTGTGGCTTTCTTAGTTACTAAAAATTTGTTGAGTCATGAGGGGTAGACTTGTTTCTATGTTGACTATATAGCTCATTACAAGTGATCAAAGTCCTAGGGTAAGGGTGTTAAACTCAAGGCCCGTGGGGTGTTTAAATCTGGCCCATGGGGTGAGCCTGGAAATAGCAAAGGACCAGCCAGCAATGCCTCTGCTAGTGAAAACAGGATGTGGGGAGCATGTGTGCCCCCCCCCATGCCCCATTTTGGACAGCAGGATGCATCTGTCCCATCTCCCCCCCACAGCTGGTCCATAAAGAAGAACTACAATGCTGATCCAGCCTCAAAGAAATCCAGTTTGACACCCCTATACTAGGGCGTAAGTATGGACCTATTATAATTTTGATATATTTTTGTTTTCCTTCTCCCTCAACGAATCTTCGGTTCTTAGTATATTTTGTTAGAAAGACATATTCCAAGGTGCCAAAATACCCTACTGAAACCTGAAACTTTGATTTGTGCAAGTTCTTTTCTTAACATTATGCATTTCATAGGTTATCTGCCATGGTCTCCAGTCCAAATTCTAACATGCCAAGTCACACCATACAATTTGTACAATGCTGGTAAACCCATGCCTTTTTCTAAACCCAGCTCTATTTCACCAGAAAACATTTGGAAAGGGAGCCAGGCACTTAATGTCTTACCAACCAGGGCTTCCAGAGTATGAGGTCACCCAGTAAACTGAACCAACATGCACAGTCCCATAAGCAGTAATTGTGTGTTACAAAGCAAATTCCTCAACTTTGATGGGGCAGCCGTGATAAATCCTCAAACTTTGCCCTGCCATGTAGAACTAAAGCAGAGGGCATATATAAATCAGCTGCACATTTACAAAGATCAGATGTACAACTGACTCATAGAAAAGATTTTAATAAAGAACTTTTTTTTTTTTAAAAAAAAATCCAGTTTCCAATCCAGCTACAGCTATGCACAAGAATGCTTTCCAGTCTGACAGTGGTTGGCAATATGCATTTCCAATGTAGATGGAAGTGCGTGTCTTTATCCTTCTATTCTACAGTAATTCAAATGTTCACATGTGCATTGAAAAATTGAGGCAGATTTGGATCTAAATATCATCAACCAAAGATCAGGGAATTACCATATTTTTCGCACTATAAGACACACCTGACCATAAAATGCACCTAAGTTTAGAGGAGGAAAACAAGAAAAAAATATATCAGGCGGAGCCTGAGAGGACCACAGATAGGTGTCTTCTCATGTGCCAGCTCTGCCTATTGACTCCTGCACTGTGGAAAAGAGACAGAAGAGGCAGGCAATGACAAAGTCAAAAGAGGTGGGGTTCAGCACTGTAAAAGGACTCTGCCACCACGGCCTAGCTGTTATTCACCAAAGGACCAGCACTGACGCCCCAACATTTCCACCCACTTTGGGGGAAAAGTAAGTGTGTCTTATGGAGCGAAAAATACAGTAGATTCCACATGAATGAAGGTGAATATACATGTCTCAGGATAATGTTGCAGGATCCAATCTGGGTCGGTCACCGGGACTAAAGATTTAGTCTTCCGAACTTTTGGACTCAAGCTTTTGAAATCCAAAAGCTCAGAAACTAAATTTCTGGACCCGGTGACTGACCCAGATTGGATCCTGCAATTAGATTTCTTTGTGTAATTTGCACATGGGCTGCCAAGTAATATATCCATTAGTTGTGTATCTCTCAACTAGCCATCCCAAAATGTACCCACTTGTGCCATAAAATGAAATAAAAAGTTATTTTTTTCATAGACAAATATAAATAGAGGATGCATTATATTTTATTTATTTATTTTATTTTTCTCATATTTTTGAACCACCCATTTCCTCGGAGAGGGATTCTATATAGTGTCAGGATTGATTTAATTCATTAAACGCAGCAGGGTAGGCTAACAAACTACTCTTCTTAGGAAGAAGACAGTTAAAGGTGGATTGAAAAGGAAGGATGGGTAATTTTGGATCCCAAATAAGAAAAAAGGCTACTGAGAGATACATCCAAGGAATAGGGTGGTAGGGTAGGTGGTAGGCAGGAGTAAAGCAACTTTATCCACAAGAGTGAAAGTATCATTTCACACCAAGTACTGTAGCACTGATTTAATTAAAGAAGGGAATTACACTATCCCCAACACTGCACTTATGAAGGCTGAGCTTACCTTGTGATAAGTTCAGCTTTCTAATCTTTTGCTAAATCGAGATCGCAAAAGGAGGAGGAAGGCAGAGACAGAGAGAGAGAGAAAAAGGGAGGGAGGGAGGCAGAGAAAATATAGGAGATAGAAAGAAAGAGGCAGAGAGAAAAAGAAAGAGAACAAATTCACATTCCAATCCAGTCACATCTGGCTTTAAAAAAAATGAAAAGAGAATATTTAAACAATAAAATACAGGCTAAAAATGCTTTGGCTGTGAGATCATTTTCTGTCACCCATCATCTCACTTACACTGTTGTCCTGATGGTTGCTGGACCAACCACACAATCTAAAGCCATAAATCATAAATCAGAGGGGGGGGGAAGCAAATATGCGTTGCCCACATTTTTCTTCTGAACAGATTCATGCAGGGTTCACGTACATAAATGATAACAGAGGGACAGCCTCACAGCCTTTTCAGCAAAGGGATTTCTTGCCCACTTGTCATACGATAAAGAACTCAAAGGAAACATTTCTAAGTAAACATAGGAAGCATTTTGCTGTGAACATCTGAATATGGAACTGCATTGCCAATGTGTTCAACAGCACAGCACAATGTTACATCTATGAAATGTGTTTGCTCCTCTGATAGCATCATGCAAAAAGAGGTGGGGTGGTTCCTCCATGTACAAACCACATGACATAGTTTCTTGCCATGGCAACATGCTTTTTTTCCAGAATAAAATCAATGTTTTGCACATTGACAACTACTATACACAAACACCTTTTCAGTTGTTTTATTTGTAACCTGTATTGTCTCTAGAGAAGTTCAGGACAATATTTTAGCTTCACAAGTACATTGAATAAGTCATAAGCAAATAAACAAAACAACACACACACATGCAAATTAAAAAGTCATATAAAAGTTATACACAGGTTCTCTGAATTGTACTTTAGCAATCCCATTGATGCAAAATTTACAGTGAGATTGGGGGCTTTGCCAAAAGGTCTCCAGAGCTAAGTGATGAACTGAAGTTAGATTTCCCACAATCACATTTGCATCTCACTGCAGTACATGAGCTCTGCTGTGGATGACATGAAACGATAAACATTAATGCGAACTGAGCCTAGATTATGTTTTTTCCCCTGCTAAAATATAGCACAGACAAGGTGCCTTGTCTGTAAATGGAGCTAGGTTGTCTATTATTTAGTTTCCTTCATTGGCTGCAGGCAAAAACAAACAATTGGATCTATGTGAGAATATCACCAAGAATTACTGAACACAAGACACAAATATGTATTAATGTTGCATCATTGGGGACGCAAACACATACACAAAAATCTTTCTCCAAGTAGAAGTGGCTGCTTATTTTCCTTGATGATGATTTCAAAGTTGCAGATGGCTTCGGCTATCAATAGAAAGTGATGCCATGGCCATTGACTTATCATTTACAGCACTGACTATCAGTAATCTGATTAAACTATGTACCAGCCCTTAATATCTGTCAGGCAAACGATGTGCAGAAATGAGTGGGCAACTTCTGGCACTCTTTCTGGCAAGGGCCTTTTTCCGCTGTCAGAAGTAGCATTGGCTTCTCCTAATATAATTACACTGACTTTTATTCAATTAAGTGTCATTCCTAGCTTTAAAAAAAACTTGCTTTCTCAACTGATTCAGGTGTAATGCAATAATCAGATGAACTCATTTGCAGGGGCATTAGCTCTGCTGTTCATAACTTTGGGATATGAGTTCATTCATAGCAGTCGATTTCCATTGTGCAACCACAGTTCACAAGGATTTATTCTGTTCCATTAGTTTCTTTGTGTCTATTTCTCATACTGAAAAAAAATCATCCTTCATATGTAAATCTAAGTCACATTGGATTATTGGGAAGAAAACACCTTGGATTTATTTGGATACTGATTTTTTTTAACATGTTCTGTTTAATAACAAAACTTAGGAGTTCAAATTGGCTGTGAAACTGGCAGGATACTGAACAGTAAGCTGTTTCCAGATTTGAAGTAGGCTTATGGGGTTTAATCGTATGGTCCATCTTGAGGGCCACTGATTTTAAGCATGAGTATATTTGGATTGCTATAGAAGGCACCCTAAAATATATATACGATTTAGCTCTATGCCAAATAGTAGTCTATATGTTGAAATGGACGTCACATGTGGGTGACTCATTCACTTCTAAGCAACAATGAAGGGCAAGTCCTGAAGCTCTTGAATCCAGAATGTTCCTATAAGCTTTTCTTGTTTTCTGTTATTTTCTC